AGCAGCCCCCGGCGGGCGGAGCCCCCCGCCTTGGAATGTATTCGGGACACAGGCCTGGCCTCAGCCGCCACTGCTCCTGCCGCCAGGGCTACCGGGAACCCTGCGGGGTCCCCAATGGGGGCTACTACCGGCCAGAGGGGACCCTGGAGAGGAGGCGGCTGGCCTACGGGGCCTACGAGGGGCCCCCACAGGGCTATGCTGAGGCCTCCGTGGAGAAGAGGCGCCTCTGCCGATCGCTGTCCGAGGGGCCGTACCCCTACCCGCCTGAGCTGGGGAAACCGGCCAACGGGGACTTTGGCTACCGCGCCCCAGGCTACCGGGAGGTGGTGATCCTGGAGGACCCTGGGCTGCCTGCCCTGTGCTCATGCCCCGCCTGTGAGGAGAAGCTAGCGCTGCCCACGGCAGCCCTCTATGGGCTGCGCCTGGAGAGGGAGGCTGGAGAGGGGTGGGCGAATGAGGCTGCCAAGCCCCTCCTGCACCCGGTGCGACCTGGGCACCCGCTACCCCTGCTGGTGCCTGCCTGCGGGCACCACCATGCCCCAGTGCCTGACTACAGCTGCCTGAAGCCACCCAAGGCAGGCGAGGAAGGGCATGAGGGCTGCTTCTACGCCATGTGCCCCGAAGGCAGGTATGGGCATCCAGGGTACCCTGCCCTGGTGACATATGGCTATGGAGGAGCGGTTCCCAGTTACTGCCCAGCGTATGGCCGGGCGCCTCACAGCTGCGGGTCTCCAGGCGAGGGCAGAAGGTATCCCAGCTCTGGTGCCCACTCCCCCCGGGCTGGCTCCATTTCCCCCGGCAGCCCGCCCTACCCCCAATCCAGGAACCTCAGCTACGAGATCCCTGCAGAGGAGGGAGGGGACAGGTATCCGCCGCCCGGGCACCTGGCCCCAGCAGGACCCTTGGCACCTGCAGGTGAGGGCACTGGGATGGGGAGTGCCCAGGGCAGAGGAGGGCTCTGGAAGATGGTGGGGGAAGGCACAGAGTGAGAAAGAGCTAAGCCAGACAGAAGGGGCTCTTCCTGGCTCACAGCCCCTCCTCTCACCTTCCCTGCAGAGTCGCCGGAGCCGGTGTCCTGGAGGGAGAGCCCCAGCGGACACAGCACCCTGCCTCGGTCTCCCCGAGATGCCCAGTGCAGTGCCTCTTCTGAGCTGTCCGGTCCCTCCACGCCCCTGCACACCAGCAGCCCAGTCCAGGGCAAGGAGAGGTACCCAGAGGGGCTGGGCATCTCAGGCGCCTCCTGGTCCGGGCAGACCCTGAAGCCTGGGGTGGGGGCAGCTCTCACGGGGTTCTGCGGCTCTACTAACCACCTGCCCTCCCACCCCGCAGCGCCCGACGGCAGGACACTAGGTCCCCCACCTTGGTGCCCACTCAGAGACTGAGTCCCGGAGAGGCCTCGCCACCTGCTACCCAGGGAGGGGCTGAAAGAGCTCCAGAGCTGCCAGCAAGAAGTGGGCCTGAGCCTCCGGCCCCTGGTCCCTTCTCCCCAGCCTCCCCGCCCAGCTCACCCAACGACTGGCCTCAGGAGAGGAGCCCGGGGGACCGTTCGGACAGCACCAGTCCAAGGGGCCCTGTACCCACCACCCTGCCCGGCCTCCGCCACGCCCCCTGGCAGGGCCTTCGAGACTCCCCGGACAGCCCAGACGGGTCCCCCCTCACCCCTGTGCCTACTCAGATGCCCTGGCTTGTGGCTAGCCCAGAGCCGCCGCGGAGCTCACCCGTACCTGCCTTCCCTCTGGCTGCATCTTATGACATCAGTGGCCCTACCCAGCCCCCACTTCCCGAGAAGCGCCACCTGCTGGGGCCTGGGCAACAGCCAGGACCCTGGGGCCCAGAGCAGGCATCGCCACCAGCCAGAGGCACGAGTCACCATGTCACCTTTGCACCTCTGCTCCCCGATAATGCCCCCCAACCCCCAGGTATAAAGGCCTTCAGGTGGCTGGGGCCACCTCGGAGAACCCTTTTTCCCAGGGAGGGGCATGGCATGGGGACTGGGGAGCCCTGAGGCCAAGCTCAGTCCCTCCCTGTCCTAGAGCCCCCTATGCAAGAGAGCCAGAGCAACGTCAAGTTTGTTCAGGATACGTCCAAGTTCTGGTATAAGCCACACCTGTCCCGTGACCAAGGTGAGAAGCCAGCCTGAGCCCACCCCCGTCCAGGGCTCTGGCTCAGCTTTGGAGCCCATCCTTCCAGTCGGTGCCTCTTCCCCGTCTCAGCGGGCCTCCTCTGGGCCGAGCCCTTCTCTAGCTGGTGATTCTGGGCTTTGGGCCCAAGGAGGTCTAACACTGTCAGCGCTCTGTGCGCTAACTCCCCGGTGGCGTCCCGGGTGCTATCGCTGCAGCTGTTAGGGCCAGAGGCCTGGGGAACTTGGGCAGCAGAGCGGAGGGGCTCCTTGGGGCTCAGTCGGCCACTGAGAAGACTTCTCCCAACCTCCTGCAGCCATTGCCCTGCTGAAGGACAAGGACACTGGGGCCTTCTTGATCAGGGACAGTCATTCATTCCAAGGAGCCTATGGGCTGGCTCTCAAGGTGGCTACGCCCCCACCCAGCGCCCAGCCCTGGAAAGGTACAGAATGGCCAACTGTGAGGGAAACGGGGAGTGGGGTGTGGGGAGGTACCAGAGGCCAGACAAGGCAGGGTGAGCCATGTCGCTTCTTAGCGGGGAGAGGGAGCAAGTGTCCTCTCCTGCTCGGGAAAGAATTCCAGCAGGCGAGAAGCAGAACCTGGAATCTGAGGAAGCCTTCCTCCCCCCTCCCCTCCCCTCCGCTCAGGGGACCCCTTGGAACAGCTGGTCCGCCATTTTCTCATTGAGACTGGGCCCAAAGGGGTGAAGATCAAGGGCTGCCCCAGCGAGCCCTACTTTGGTGAGAAGCAGGGGCTGGGAAGGCTGCACTGGGCTCGTCCAGGGAGGCCAAGAGGCGTCAGGAGGGAGGAGGTAGACCGCGGGTATCTCGGGGTGCCTCGAGACCCCACTCGCCTCTCTGCTGCAGGCAGCCTGTCGGCCCTGGTCTCCCAGCACTCCATCTCCCCGCTGTCCCTGCCCTGCTGCCTGCGCATTCCCAGCAAAGGTGGGTGTCCGGTCACCTGTCCTCCCACCTCTCCCCACCCACTGCAGCCAAAGGCAGAATCCCCAGGCCCTGGCTTCCTGCCTGCCTGCCTGCCTTCCCGCCTGCCTGCCTGCCTTCCCTCGGGGATGGCAGAGGGTGCTCTCCAGCTCCCAGCACTGCCACTCTCCGCTGACCCCCGTTTCCCTCAGATCCTCTGGAGGAGGCCCCAGAGGCCCCAGTGCCCACCAACATGAGCACAGCGGCAGACCTCCTGCGTCAGGGCGCCGGTACGGGCCTCTCCCTCCTTTCCTCCCCCTGGGCACCAAGGGGGCCGTTGCTGATACATGGGGCACTGAAAGGCCTTGAGGTGGGTGGGTGGGCCCTGGTGGATGCGTCTGACCCATGAGGGCAGGGGGAGCCCTGCATCTGTAGGCACAGTGGTAGAGGGAGTCCTTGGTCTAGGCTCTGTGGGGAGGGGGCTTGTTAGGACGCAGATTCTCAGGCCTCTTTCCAGCACCTCTGACTGTGGATCTGGGGGAGGCACAGAATCTGCCTTTTTAACAGGTTACCTGTGTGACACGCATCCCGAGCACACTAGCTGGGGAAAGTGCGAGAGCTGGTGGGGTGGGGGGATCAAGGGAAGATAGACCTGGGGGCAGGCAGAGCCGCTGCTCCCTCCAACCCCCCGCCCCCCCCCCCAGCCTGCAGTGTGCTCT